ACAGCCATCAAGACAGTATGGTACTGGCACAAAGACAGAAATATAGATCAATGGAACAGAATAGAAAGCCCAGAGATAAATCCACGTACCTATGGACGCCTTATTTTTGACAAAGGAGGCAAGGATATACAATGGAAAAAAGACAAACTCTTTAACAAGTGGTGCTGGGAGAACTGGTCAACCACTTGTAAAAGAATGAAACTGGAACACTTTCTAACACCATACACAAAAATAAACTCAAAATGGATTAAAGATCTAAATGTAAGACCAGAAACTATAAAACTCCTATAGGAGAGCATAGGCAAAACACACTCCGACATAAATCACAGCAGGATCCTCTATGAGCCACTTCCCAGAATATTGGAAATAAAAGCAAAAATAAACAAATGGGACCTAGTGAAACTTAGAAGCTTTTGCACAACAAAGGACACTATAATCAAGGTGAAAAGACAGACTTCAGCATGGGGGAAAATAATAGCAAACGAAGAAACAAAGGATTAAACTAAAAAATATACAAGCAACTCCTGCAGCTCAATTCCAGAAAAATAAATGACCTAATCTAAAAATGGGCCAAAGAACTAAACAGACATGTCTCCAAAGATGGCATACAGATTGCTAACAAACACATGAAAAGATGCTCAACATCACTCATATCAGAGAAATGCAAATCAAACCCACAATGAGGTGCCATTACATGCCAGTCAGGATGGCTGATATCCAAAAGTCTACAAGCAATAAATGCTGGAGAGGGTGTGGAGAAAAGGGAACCCTGTTATATTGTTGGTGGGAATGAAAACTAATACAGCCATTCTGGAGAACGTGTGGAGATTCCTTAAAAACTGGAAATAGAAATGCCATATGATGCAGCAATCCCACTCCTGGGCATACACACTGAGGAAACCAGATCTGAAAGAGACACGTGTACCCCAATATTCATCACAGCACTGTTTATAATAGCCAGGACATGGAAGCAACCTAGATGCCCATCAGCAGACGAATAGATAAGGAAGCTATGGCACATATACACTATGGAATATTACAGAGCCATTAAAAATAATTCATTTGAATCAGTTCTAATGAGATGGATGCAATTGGAGCCCATTATACAGAGTGATGTAAGCCAGAAAGATAAACACCAATACAGTGTACTAACACATGTATATGGAATTGAAAAAGATGGTAATTATAACCCTACATGCAAAACAGAAAAAGAGACACAGATGTATAGTACAGGCATTTGGACTCTGTGAGAGAAGAAAAGGGTGGGATGTTCTGAGAGAATAGCATTGAAACAAGTATACTATCAAGGGTGAAACAGATCACCAGCCCAGGTTGGATGCATGAGACAAGTCTTCAGGGCTGGTGCCCTGGGAAGACCCAGAGAGATGGGATGGAGAGGGAGGCGGGAGGGGGGATCGGTATGGGGAGCACATGTAAATACCTGGCTGATTCATGTCAATGTATGGCAAAAAAACACTACAATCTTGTAAAGTAATTAGCCTCCAACTAATAAAAATAAAGGAAAAAAAAAAGTCTTCTCCAAGGCCATAGTTCAAAGTGCATATATGTGTGTCATTTGTCAGTGATGTCATATTCCCCCTGTTGGGATTTAACCACCAAAACTGAATTTAAACAATATGCAACAATGAAGATTAAGACACAGTGCCCCACTTACATACAGCTGGCAGCAGGAGAGGCTCCTGTTGTATTCAACGGACAGGCCTGTGAGAGGGTAACAGGCAGGAAGGCCAGGGGTCTCCAAACGGAGGAAATAGGCTGCAAGTGCCAGACATTTTTATCTCTCTTAAGCAGCAGGAGGAAACAAACCAGCGATATGTTTTTCCTTCTCTATACAAATTTAAAAGGAGGTTTCTCTTAAAATGCTATGTTGCGGTGACACCTGGTCTCACCTGAAGCTAACTACTCTCAAACCTTGAGTTAACCAATACATTTCTTTTTCTTACGGAAATGTTGTCTTAAGCTATGTTAATGTATCCCAGAGTCTATCTTCAATTTGGTTTCGCCAAACGGCCTAACTTACTTACTCAGATATTGCTCCCTAATCTATGTAAAGGAAACTATTTGTTGGTAATCTGCCCTTCTACAAGATTCAAGTCAATTGTTTTATGGCCAAGGATGAATTATCTGGTGCCATTCTAAATTTTATGACATTCCTTTCTTTTCATTAACAGACTGTGAGTGACTATATAACATACAGCTAAAGACCAGCAGGGGGGTACTCTTTCTGCCCCCTTCGGATGCCTATGTCAGAAGCTTTCTCTATCTCCTTTATACTTTAATAAAACTTTATTATACAAAAGCTCTGAGCAATCCAGCCTCGTCTCTGGCCCTGCATTGAATTCATCTCCTCCGGAGGCCAAGAATCCCAGAGTCTTATTGTTCAGCAACAACCTTTCATCTGGATAAATCTCATGCAGGAATAGGCCCTGGGAGTCCTGGATGAGTCAGTAAACACGATTGTCTGTACTTTGGATGTCACAGCTGTTTTTTCTTCTTTGATTGGGAAGACCTTTCAAAATAATTTTTTTGTGTGTTTGCTTTGGAAGGCAAAATTTTTCATGGTATAGGTCCCATGGGGGAAATTATATCAGAAATATATACATTTATCTTCAGCAGTTAAATTTGTTGGTTTGCATGTCCCTGATGATCTTTCTTTGTAAATAGAAAGGAAACAAACTTGTGCAATATGCATTCAGTCTCTTTTTAAATCAACCAACTTGAATTACATTCCTCTCTGTCCCCATTGCACTTCCAAGTCTAGGCTAGAAATAAAAACCTGCAGAGACTGAAGGCTGATTCCAGCACATTGTTGTGGAGATTTCGTTCCCACTGTTTTTTGTTTGCTTGTTTGTTTTGTTTTGTTTTGTTTTGTTTTTGGAAAAAAAATTAGTTGCTAACGTTAAAATCAGTAGATGGTACACAAATATCCAAACTTCTGATTCACTTGAAACATGGCCAACTGGCCTGCTTTCTAGCATGGTTGAAATTGATGAAAGGCTTCTCCCAGGTGTCAGGATCTAGCATGGCCGGCCACCTAGTCCTATTATCATTTCTCTTGCCTCCTGGGTCTATGAGTTTGTGAGAACTAGACTGTGGCTCTCTTAAGATAAAGAATACTTTTGTCTTGATCTACTTTGACTTTGAAGCCTTTAACCCAGAACCCAGCACACAGTTCTTCCTTGTATGTTTGTTGGATGATATAAAATATCTTGTGGATGAATATGACATTTTTTCCAATACTGAAACCCACGCAATTGAAGTACTGCTCTGCCCTAAATCTTTGATGCAGACTGACATCACAGGTGCCCCTGATTTCTGCCATTTGACACACTACCTAAGGCTAGTTGTACATCTCTGGGCTGTCCTTGAAGTCTTCACTTTGCCATTTGACAACTTATCCTCCTAGCAATCTCCTCTCCAAAGAAGACAGCAATACACATCTCATGAAGTGTCTAGGAAGATGACATGAAACCATGAATGTTCATTATGGCCCCTAATTACCATTTTCCTGATGTTCTTATCAGTTTTCTCTAGAAGTAGGTAAGGTTCTCTGTCTCCTTAGATATCCATGCAGATCAGTTAGATTTTCCAGCCAAGCTTCAAGGAAGAGATTACAGTTCAATTGTCTGTATTCTGAGAAGCTTCAAAGTCCACTTGCCAAGGACACGGATGAAGGTAAAGATTTTATCAAAAGCTTTGTGTTTTTATCAGGTCTATTAGTGGCATAAAAGGGAAAACAAGGGTAGGTCAGAGCATATATAACTAGGGGCTCCCGGTCACCACTACATGCTAAGAACCCGAACTTCCCTGAGTACTTGGAGACAGGAAAGAGCATGAAGTGACTTGTGCTCCTCGGGCTGGTGGCCTTCTCAGAGTGCATAGTCAAGTAAGTATGGGGACTGTAAGCTGCATCATCTTCCTTTCTCGGATTTTTCTTTTCATCTGATTATTCTTCCACCCATCAGGTTTAGATGGGAATGGAACATTTCCCTGACAGTCTTAAAGTTCAGCCCTTACTTATTGATAAGTACCTTGCTTTAGGAACTGTGGATCCCATGGTTTTTGGTGTAGATTTGCATGGTTGCACAACTCTTGGGGTTGAGTCATGACCTATTGAAAATGCAACTGCTTACAACTGTTCAGTGCACCATCTATGCAGATGTAGGTGTGGTCCTGTGGAATAGCACTTTTCTACATTTTATTTAACATGTCCTCTTTGTTCCCTGTCTACTTCAGTGTGTATGTGACTATGTCTGCATCTCTGTATCATTATCATTTTCCTCTCCATCTCTTTGGAAGTCTCTGTGAGTGTATTTCTCTCTGTGTTGTTTTCTGTCAATTTTTAATTTGACTCATCCTTCCTTCTTGAGCCTCCTAATTTCCCTTACTTGTTCCTTATCTTCTGGATTCTTCTTTCAACTTCCTCTTCTCTTTCAACTTGGAGAAAGATACACTGTTTGATATACACTTTTATATCTGACAAGCATTGTGACCACAGCCAACTCAGTAACCTCTTGCATTTCAAATTGCTCCCTTGTAAAAGAGCATAAGAGTCCCCCTTCTAACTCCCTCCTTGAGGTACTATAAGAAGGATACAGTGGGATGGCAACAGTAATACTAATGGCTGTCATTGTTGAGATTTCCTATTTATCAGGTACCTTATATCCAACATTTCACTTATCCCAAATATATTCTATTTGGAGGGTTTGTATTGCTACATTCCACCATTTTATTGAGGGGGAAACTGAGACACCACATGGTCATCTGGCTTATCCTGGATTGTAGGACAGAACCTGTAATCAAACGTATGTCCTTTCCATGGTATATGCATAAAATTTGATAATAATGTGCCTCATAAAAGTGATTAGAAAATACACAGGGCCATTACAATGACTGTTTTACCTGAACACTGACAGCTAATTGTAGCTTCTTCTTTGTCAAATGCTCCGTAAAGAATACCTCTAACGAGAGTGCAGATCATGAGAAAATCCCGCAGTGAAAAAAACATGCTGAACAATTTCCTGAAGAAACATGCTTACAGACTGTACCTGACTTCTCCTGGCTCAAATATAGCTACTCACCCCCTGAGAAACTTCAAGGATGTGAGTATTTTCAGAGGATGGTGCTCCGCAGCGCCCCCTGGTGCTTAGGCCTAGCACCGGGGCTCATCTAGAGGAGCCAGGTGGGATGTTGTGGTTGGGGTTCCTGCAGGAGGCAGAAACAATGGAAAATAGGGACCCCACCTAGAGAAAAACGCACCCTCATCCTCAACTGTTGGTCTTTGTTACTGTGCCCGGCCATTACCAGGTGTCAGGTAAATATCCATTTCTGTGTCAAAGATGTGTCATTAGTTTTTCGGAGATTTCTCCTTCTGAAATAAGTGAGTCAGTCAGTTACAGACGAAGAGTGAATCGTCACTGATCAAATGGTAGAACCAACGGCAAAGTAATTGTGAATCCCCAGGCAGAGGAATTCAGTTTCTACAGAAACAAGATCCACAGCTGTCAAAAGTTACTGAAGCCATATTTTGTGTAAGGCCATAAGTATCTAACACTGTGATTATTGTTTTTAGATTAGAAAAAGGGCTTATTTTGTCTTAAAGAATGCTCATGCCAGCCTGAGATATAGGCATATTAGTAAATACATGTCAAATAAAAGGGTCACCTGTGTGGTGTTGATTGGATGTGGTCTGAGTTTAGAGGGAGTGGCTGCGGTTGATCACGAAGTACGTTCTGGAATAGGAGGTGCTAAGGCTGAGTTTGAAGAGACTACAGAGCTTCTCAAATGAAGGCACCAGGACTTCCCTGGGTGTCTAGTGGTCCTGGAGGTCCAGTGGTTATGCCTCTGTGCTTGCAAATCAGGGAGTACCACTTCAACCCCTGGTCCTAGAGTCAATATCCTGCATACCATGCAGCACAGGAAAAATATATCAAATGCAGGCACCTCTGTGATCAAATTCAGTGAGCTGTATGGTGGTTATAAAGTGATCTCAAGAGATATGTGACCTCCAGAGGGAGGCATGAGTGTGAGAATAGAGGGTAGCCAGTTCTGCAGTAACCCACTACCTCCTTTTCCCTGTAGATGTTGTATGTGGGTAACATCACCGTTGGAACACCCCCTCAGGAATTCCGGGTTGTCTTTGACACAGGTTCATCTGACTTGTGGGTGCCCTCCATGTTTTGTTCCAGCCCAACCTGTTGTGAGTACAGACACTGCATACCCATACTATATTTCTGTTGCCCTGCCACCCTGTTTTGCACACTTGGCACCTGATGGCACTTATCTCTTTTGTCTGCAGCTTCACATGTTTTGTTCAGACATCGTGAGTCTTCCACCTTCTGCCCTACCGACAGGGAATTCAGCCTCGAATACAGTGTTGGAAGAATGAGGGGAGTTGTTGTTTATGACACCGTTCGGGTAAGACCGTAACAAATGCTGAGTCAGGACTGGGTATGGAGTGACCATTGCTTCCAAAACAGATGGAGGGCCTTATGGCAGGACCCATCCTAGCCTAACTCCTGTAGATATTGGCCATCTTAACCACATTATCCTGTCTCTGGGGAAGCAGTGCCTGTGGTGACACATGAGCACACAGATTATGTAACCCAGAGAGTGGCTTGAGATAGGGACTTGCAGCTTCTCTGCCCATGAGCAGTTTGAGGTTCATTTTGCTGGAAGCGAGAAGAGGGGAAACAAGCACCCACTTTTATATTCTCAGACTGTTCCAGGCACTTTCAGGTGATAAGTTGTTTAGTCCTGAAACAACGCCACACAGCAGTTACTCTGATTAGCTAATGAGACATATGAGGAAACTGAGGTGCAGACAGCAAGGACCTTGATGAGGACACACATGTGGTAAACAGTGGAGTTTGGCTGGCTTTTCATGACTAAAGTTGAAGTTGCAGTGGGGTGTTTGGGGACAGGATAAAACTGATCTGGGGATCCTCGGGGTAGTCAAGGGCTTCAGGTATCCAGACTGGGAAACTGGAGGCCTGAGAAGTTAAGGGGCCTGATAAATGAGTTTTCACTCTAGGGGGCCTTTGAGAGTCCAACAAAACTTATGGCCTGCCTCCCCCAAAGTACTTGAGTAGTTTCCCCCTCTCTCTTTCTCTCTCACAGAGACACACATATCCCCAAAAGTTAATCCCCAGGCAGGAATTTCATAGATCCCTGCAAGCAAGATTGTGTTTTCGGCTTCTGTCTTCGTGGACAGATGCAGAATCCACAGTACCTTACAAGAATGCAGTCCATTCCTGTCATTAGGTCACAGTGATGCCAAAGAGAAGGCTGCATTGCTCTTGGCTCATTTTGTCCACAAGGGGGCACCAATATGTCCTGGCCTGACTCTTGGTTGCCCCACCTGTACAGAAGTCACGAGGCCAATTTGACTTACTCAGGTGGTGTTTTTCAGAGGGGCAGATGTTTTAAAATTCACAGCCTCTCACAAATGGAACCCAACTTCCCCTCCCAGCTTGGTATAACTGCCTGAGGTCCACCGAACACACAGCCCAGCCTCAATTCTTCTCTGAGGATCTAATGGCAATGCACCCCAGCCTAGTCCTATCCCAGTTCATGTATCTGTAAGTGGGATCTTCTCTCCCACAGATTGGGGACCTTGTAAGTACTGACCAGGCATTTGGTCTAAGCATGGAACATTCCGGGTTTGAGGGAAGGCCTATTGATGGCATCTTGGGCTTGAACTACCCCGACTTATCTTTCACTGGAGGCACGCCCATCTTTGACAAACTGATGAATGATGGTGCCATTTCTGAGCCAGTTTTTGCCTTCTACCTGAGCAAGTAAGTCTGAAATGGACAATCCATTTCTTCAAATTAGCTGTAATTTGCTTTCAGTAGTAGAAAATTTATAGAACACTTGATAAAGAAGTATTCTGAGAGATAATCTAATCCAAGATAACTATGGCCCCAGGGCCCTACCTGGCTTCACCACTGGCTTTTATAAATAACGTTTGATTGGAACATAACCCTGCTCCTTTGCTCAAGATCTGTAACTTGGTCTAGGGGGATGAGTGAGGAGGGAGACTAATGGAAGGCAACAGGAAACAAGTTGAAGGAAAATATATTAGGATTTGTTTATGAATTTGATAAGGAAGGAGAAGGATGGTGGGTATCTTTCCTTCCTCATTAGCATTTCACTGCGAGCCCAGGACCAGCTACCCAATTTGCAAGAGCCAGTGAAAAAGGAAAGTGTGGGACACAAAACAAAAGTGTGGGACCCCTTGTTCAAGAAATATTAGGCATTTCAAGACAGGGAGAGCAGAGGTGGGGTCCCTTCTGAGTATGGGGCCCTTTAGACAGTAGAAGTCACAGGCCAGTGGAGCCAAATCTGGGTGACCTGATCCCACACCCTTAACACTTCCAGGCCTTGATTCTCCTGAAAAATGACAAAGTGGACAAGGTAAAAGCCAAAATGCTTCAGCAGCCTGTCCTCTGAGGGTGTCTGAGCACTCAGGTCACAGTAGGTCAGGGCATCTTCAGAAGATATATTGGGTGGAGCCCATCCAGGTTACTCAGGTTCTACCCTCCTCTGTGCCACTCATTAGCCAGTAACTGACCTCAGTCTGGTTCTCAATTGCTCCAAGACTCGATTTCTGCATCTGTCCATGAGGACCTTATTAGGGCCTTGATGGGTGGAGAAGCAAATCTCTCAGACAGTGCTGTCTTCTCTCTACAGAATCAAGCCGGAGGGCAGTGTGGTGATGTTTGGTGGGGTGGATAAATCCTACTACCAGGGAGCACTCAACTGGGTACCATTGATTCAAGCGAATGACTGGCATGTACACATGGACCGGTAAGCCTCTCCTTCTGAGAGTCAGCCCAAGGGATGCTCTCAATACTGTACATGGACACAGGCAGACACACACAAATGCATTCTCAGACAAATAGACACAGAGACATATGCACCACCCACAATGACACAGACACACAGACACATGGAAAAAACAAGCAGACACATATAAACATATATAGAGACACCTATAAACATGCATAGCTAGTCAGAGACACAGAAGCATACACAGAGACACATACAAGCACACATACTAACAAACATGCAAGCACACAGATACACAAACAGCCCATGGGTTCATAATCCCCAGGCTTCCTGACCAGGGCTCTGACCAGGGTCCTCACAGGATCCAGAGAGGTCTGTGCAGCTGGGAGAGCACTAAACCTGCTGCCTTGTGACATGGGGAGCACAGTCAGAGGACTCTACAATGTGGTGAACAGGATCAGGGAGGATTTCACCAGCCTGGACAGCATTATAAGATGACCAACTGTCCAGGGCTACCTGGGACCAACCAAGTTCTCAGTACAGATAAATGTCAATTTAAAAACAGGGAAAGTCCTGAGCAAATGGGGAAAACTGGTATCCTTATAGAGAAGCTACCCAGCAGTGGAGAGAGGTTGGGTGCAGTCAACAAATAAATGTTAAAGCAACAAATAAAAAAGACTCCTCACATCCCTGGGCACAGAGTCGGGCAGGGGTTCTAACTGAGAGAATCAGAAAGGTGGGATCCAGGAGTGACCTGAGGACAAGAGCAATAACTGATAGGATTCTGTGTGATACCTTCAGACAAAAGCTGACCTGTCCTTTGGAGTTTTCGTGGGCTAGTCATATATATCCTGGCCAGGGTCTCAGGGTCTGAGCTGGTTGTAGGAGCAATGCTGGGAGACACCTCTCCCAGAGGAGCCCCTATTTCCCCCTACTATGAGAATCTGCTGCCCCTGTGAATCTCCATCTTCACTCTGTGTTCGGCCCATTATTTGTTCCCCACTAGATACAGCTCTCTGGATGTTTCTCATTATTTTCACAGTCCTCATTCACTCATTGAACAGACAAACATTGGGCATCCACTATGTGCCAGGCACTTTAGGGAAGAAATGAGAATAAAACTCGCCTTCACATTTAAGAAGGCAGATGCACAGAAATGACAGACACACTTAATGAATTGTGACTTTGGTACATGCTAGTCGTGAGGAAGGGTCAACAGAGAGTGATCAAGACAGGAAACTGATAAACACCGGGGGAAAGTCTTCCTTGAAAACAATACAATTAAGCTGGAATCTGGAAGATGCGAAGAAATTTGCTAGTCAAAGGGGAGGGGAGGCTTCTAGGAAGGAAGACTAGCTTGTGTCAAAATACAAAATATCCTGGTGTATTCAAGTACTGCATTCAAGGGTGTCAAGGGAGGTGCCGTGTCGAGAGCAGATGAAGAGAGTCAGGGCAAGAGACAAAGGGCTGTTTAGGAGACAGTCAGGAAGGGGGCAGCTCTGGGGAGACTCAGAGTGACCTCAATGCCCGTTTTCTTCCACTGTCTCTCAGCATCTCCATTAACAGCCGGGTTATTGCTTGCAATGGTGGCTGTGAGGCCTTTGTGGACACTGGGACATCACTGATCCTTGGTCCAAGAAGACTGGTCGATAACATCCTGAGACTCTTCGGTGCCACCAAGGTGAAAGGTCATGCCCCAGGGTCACTCCCAGTCTCCACACACATCAAGGATCTCCAGGGCCAAACTTTCTCCCTCTCTCTCTAATAGCACTATGTTTCATGTTCTGCGGTCAATACCCTGCCCTCTATTAACTTCACCATCAACCGCATCAGCTACCCCGTGCCAGCTCAAGCCTACACCATCAAGGTGAGGGGACAATACTGAGGGTTGGTTCTCAAACTGGAGCTTGCAGGAACCCTTGGGCTGCTGCTGGGAGGAGGGCGCCATCTGCAGGCCATGTCATACCATTGCAGATGCTGGTGAGCCTTGTGGCTGGGTCAGTGCCTCCCACAGAACCAATCACTTGAGAGTAAAGGGCCGTCTGGGACACTGATCATCCTGAAATAAATGTGGAGACGTCACACCATGCTGGCATGGTGGGAGTCACAAGGCGAGGGGAACACTGAGGTCCTCAGTCCTCAGAGAGCTTCAGTTCAATCTGAACCCTTAGGTGCATGAACATGAAAGTCAGCGCCAGCAGTCCCTGAAATAGGCCATGTTACAAGGAGAATGGCTGGGGACAATCCCAGAGTGATATCCCATCATAAATTAACAGTCTCCCTTCCCTTTTCAAAGCTTTCCTGCTTTGGATGATAAATTGCATGGTCACCCTAGATCTCGGCTGCTTCTTCCCCTTGCTCTGGCCAGGTGTCCCCATTGTGAACTGGGGTACCCAACCCCTCTGTGGATATATTGGATACTAAGGTGAATAAAGGGTGCACAGTGACTACTCAGACCCAGCACAGGGTGGAGGCTTCATGTCAACTCCCTGTGGGAGTACAGAGCAGGCTGATGGGCCCAAAGAAGGCTTTGAGGAAGAGAGGGAATTTCAGGAATTCTAAAATCAGAAACTCATGGAGCCGTATGGAGGGTTGCTTGGTTCTAGGCAACACTGCACTGGATTCCATGCAAATGGCATCCGAAGGTGCTCTGCATTGGGGCACTGAGGACTTACTAGGGGTAATAAGGGCTACGGACTGACTGGTGGGAATGGGGAACCAAAGTACATTACCCAACCAAGCCTGGAGTGGCCAAAGAGGGTGAGTGTGGGCCGAAGGCTTCCCAGAGATCCTGAGTTAAGTCTTCAAGAATGTGTTGTGGGCACTGCTATATTTAAGATGGATAACCAACAACAAGTGACTGTGTAGCACAGGGAACTCCACTCAGTTATATGACAGCCTGGATGGGAGGGGTAACTTTGGGACCAGGATACATAGATACATACAATTGATTCAGTTTATTGTCCACCTGAAACCCAGCATATTGTTAATCAGCCATATTGCAATAAAAAATACATTTTTAATACAGAGGGATTGTGGGGATTGTGGTGATGCCAGAGGAGGACCTGCATTCTTGGTAGAGAAAACAAGGAGCAGGAGTCAGGAGGAAAGAGACAGGGAGTGAGGAGAACTATGGACCCTCTTGTTCTTTTCTAAATATTGTATTGAAGTGTGGCTGATCTTCAGTGTTGCCTTAAGTTCTGCTGCACAGCAATGTGACTCAGTTATACACATAAAAATATATATTCTTTTCCTTATTCCTTTTCATGGGGTTTATCACTGGATATTGAATATAGTTCCTTACTCTCTACAGAAGGACTTTGCTGTTTATCATTACAGTGTTTCCCCAACTCCCAGTCCTCCACTCACCACACCCTTACTCATGGCAGCTGCAAGTATAGACACTTTTTGGTTTTGGATGAACTCTCACATTCCCTGCTGCTAATAAAACTATTTGATACTTACCAAAAGAGGGAAATAAAACAAAGAAGTGTGCTAGGCCTGTATATTTGTGGAAGTTGCACATAAGGGATCAGGCTGACTGGTTTGTGTCTCTGACTCCCCCGGGATCCTACGGGTGAATGCTATATCGGCTTTAGAGAGAACCAAGAGAGTACATCTACAGAGACCTGGGTCCTGGGTGACATCTTCATAAGGCTGTATTTCTCGGTCTTTGATCGAGGAAATGACAGGATTGGCCTGGCACAGGCAGTGTAAACGCTTGGAGTGATTCAGGAATCAGTAAGGCCACTCCTAACACACACTCACTCACACTTAGGGCACTCCTGCCCAGGATGCTGATGAACTGTATTTTGTGGTCTGCACACCCTATTCTCAATAAAGAATAAAGGGTTTCACTCATAATGGTGCTGAAATAAATGGGTGCCTCTGTTTGTGTCTGGGAGTGAAGGATCTAGAACCAAGTCTGAATCGAAACTGACAGAAGCCCAACTCCAATTGGCTTCAAAGAAATGGGAGACTCATTGAAATGATTCTGGGAATCCAGGACACAAGAATCAGAGCAAATAAAAAGATCTCAGTGACTAAACGCAAGAAATCAGAAGTCATCAGTTCTCTCTTTCTCACCCTCACTCTTTCCCTTTGTTCTTCTTTGGGGATCTTAGCCTGACAACTTTCTTTTTTTTTTTTGAAATTTATTTATTTATTTATTTATTTATTTTTCATTTATTTTTATTAGTTGGAGGCTAATTACTTTACATCATTGCAGTGGGTTTTGTCATACATTGAAATGAATTAGCCATGGATTTACATGTATTCCCCATCCCGGTCCCCCCTCCCACCTCCCTCTCCACCCGATCCCTCTGGGTCTTCGCAGTGCACCAGGCCCGAGCACTTGTTTCATGCACCCAACCTGGGCTGGTGATCTGTTTCACCCTAGATAATATACGTGTTTTGATGCTGTTCTCTTGAAACATCCCACCCTCGCCTTCTCCCAGAGTCCACAAGGCTTCTACACCTAGTGAGGGAGTCCAAGCTACCTGCCCTAAGGTTTTATATCCCCAAGGCATCACCTAGTAAGGAAAGAAGCTCAAAATATCAGAGTTCAATGATGTTTTCTGAATGACCCACCTCAGATCACCTGTACAGCCCCAGATCAGCCATCCTGGCAGGGCCATGGGGTCCTATGACTGGGTTTACATGGCCATTGTCCCTGACCCAGCAGCACACATGATTCTCAGTTTCCTCCAGAACTACATGACTGAAGGTGGGGAAAGGCAGACCCAAGGATAGCAACTTGGGGATGGTCTAGGCCATCCCACCAACTCCACTACCTCCTCATTCAGAGGAATTCTAAGGGGTAAAGAAATAGACTCTTTTCATCCCATCTCAGATTATTTTATCACTGGGCTTCTCCTCCAGGGGAGTTTTGGTGAGGTAGTTCATGCAGAGCTGGATCCCTCTTGTTCCAACACTCTACTCACCAGCTCTCTGTCCCACTTTCCTGCTCTGTTCTTTCCAGTCGTACTTGGTAATTGATAGCCCCAGTGGATCCCTGAGCCATCCCCCTCCTCCAGGGCCAAGAATGCCCTTTCCTTGGCCTCCAGTGCTGCTGGGGTGAATGTAACATGTACGGGGGGACCCAGTGTACACAGAGTGTTCAGCCTTTCTGATCTTTCTCTAGGGGTGGAGCTACAAACTCTTTGTTTGGAGCTGCCATGGTAAGGCACTTTTGCAGTGGAAGCATCCATTCTTTCCACCTGGAGGCCCTCAGTAGATGCCTCAGCTGAGACAGCAGGGGTCAGAGGTTGATGTCCTTTCAGATTGACTGGCTTGATCTCTTTGTTGTGTAAGGGACTCTCAAGAATCTTCTGAAGCACCACAGTTCAAAAGCTCAGATTTTTGCCATTCACCCTTTCTTATGGTCCAGAGAGCACATCCACACATGATTACTGGAAAAATCATACTTTTGACACTACAGACCTCTGTAGCAAAGTGACTCTCTGCTTTTTAATACAGTGTCCAGTTTCATAGCCTTTCTTCCTTCCAGGGAGTAAATGTGTTTTAATTTTGTGGTTGCAGTCAAGGTCCATAGTGATTTTGGGGGCCCAAGAAAAATTTCTGCCACTGTTTCCACTTTCCCTCATCTATATGCAATGAAGTGGTGAGGCTGGATGCCTTGAATGTTGAGTATTTTTTTTGTGAATAGTTTTTTGAATGTTGAGTTTTAAGTCAATTTTTTCATTTCCTCTCCTCATCAAGAGGCTCTTTAGTTCTTTTCTTTCTGTCACTAGGGAGGTGTCATATTCATATCTGTGGATGCTAATACTTCTCCCTGCAATCTTGATTCCAGCTTGGAGTTTATGTTATCCAGCATATAAAATGATGTATCCTACATAGAAGTTAAATAACGAGTGGCAATGTACACCTTGTCCTGCTCCATTCCCAATTTTAAATCTTTCAGTTGTTCCATGCCACTTTTTGACCTACATACAGACTTTTCAGGAGACAGGTAAGGTGATCTGGTACTCACATTTCCTTAAGAATATTCCACAGTGTGTTGTGGTCCACCCAATGAAAGGTTTTAGCATAGTCAGTGAAACACAGGGAAATGATTTTCTGAGATTCCCTTGCTTTCTCTCTGATGCAAAGGATGTTGGCAATTTGATCCCTGCTTCTTCAAACCAGTTTGTACATCTGGAAGTTCTCAGTTCAAGTACTGTTGAAGCTTACCTTGAAGGATTTCTAGCATTACCTTGCTAGCAAGTGAGATAAGCACAATTGCATGATAGGTTGAGCATTGTTTGAAATTGCCTTTCTTTTGGATTGGTTGAAAACTGATCTTTTCCTGTCCTGTGGCCACTGCTGAGTCTTCCAAATTGCTGACATATTGAATGCAGCAGATTTATAGTCTCATTCCTTAGGATGTTTTAAACAGCTCAGCTGGAATTTCATCACCTCCACTAGCTTTGTTTGTAGTGACGCTTCCTAAGGCTCATTCGACTTCATACTCCACTATATCTGGCTTTACAAGAGTGACCCAAGCATCATCCCTATCCCAAATTTATGACCATCTTTGTACAGTTCATCTGGGCATTCTTCCCACCTTCTCTTAATCTCGTCTTCTTCTGGTAGGTCTTTGACTTTGCTCTCCTTTATTGTGCCCATCTTTGCATGAAGTGTTCCTCTGGCAGCTACAGTTTTCCTGAAGAGTTCTATACTCTTTACCATTCTATTATTTTCTTCTAATTCTTGCACTGTTCACTTATGAAGACTTTCTTATCTCTCCTTGCTTTTCTCTGGAGGTCTGCATTCCATTGGGTATATTGTTCCCTTTCTCCTTTGCCTTTCACTTCTCTTATTTTCTCAGCTGTTTTTAAGACCTCCTCAGGCAACCACTTTTCCTTCTCATATTTGTTTTTCTTGGGGATGGTTTTGGTGATCACCTCCCATACAATGTTACAAACTTCCTTCCATAGTTATGCAGGCTACCAGACCTAATCCCTTGAATCTATTTTTCATCTCCACTATATAATCATAAGGGATGTGATTCAGGTCAGAGCTGAATGTTCTAATGGCTTTCCTTACTTTCTTCAGTTTAAGCCTGAATATTGCTTGCTTCTGCCTAAGCATTTGTGTCAGATCACCACCCACCACTTCCAGTGGGTGTGGAGCAAAAACACACAAATTGAGGACAGTTGCCCTGGGTTTTTGCTTGGCCATTCACATGTATAGGTGTGTGAACTTGATCAAGTCCCTTAACCTCAGTTGTCTCATCTGGAAAATGGGCACCATGATGATAATTGCACCTTCTAGATAGCATGTGTGCCTGCTGAGAACAAGAGGCACTGAGAGGGCTTTCTGGGTTCCTGGGTCTGGAAAAAATATGAATTATCCTCCCACCCAGGGAGAAGAAAATCTTCTGTTTAGAGGTTATAGCTGACATCCCCAAGGCTAAATATTGATTCAAGCCAAATGACCTCTATTTCTGAACCATGACACAGAACTCTGACTGAGTCGATGCTTCTGTTTTGTGGGCTCCAACAAGAGCTAATGATTACTGGCTCAGATTACTCCCTTACAGCCTTACCTGTCAGCCTTTCCTTGCCAAGTACATCGACCTGAATTAGCACTGCACAGAGAGTTGTAAGGCTTTTGGTTTCTTGCCAGTTTCCCACATCTCCAGCACAGCAACAAGTAGCTGTTTTGGCTACTTGTCATAGCAACAACTATTGCAACCTGTACAGTCCAATCTCAGCCTGTTAAATGAAACAGTCCCCATTTGGCCCCTCATGTTGAAATTACCTACAGTTGCCATAGAAACCTTCCTATGCTTGCTGTTTAAGGGATGAAATATGTGTGGACCTCATCTAGTGTTCTTTCCCAAGCATGATTCCAACCATGTAGTGAAGTAACTAGACATTGAGTCATCTAACTATCCACAGGAATTGACAAAAGCAAACCACCCATCGTGCATTTCTTGCTTGCCCCAAAACACCACTGAAGTGATCTTTCACAACAAAAGCATACTTTGGCATGTACACTCCAGAAGGGACACTTTTTCGGGATTCGTTTTCCACCTAGTGCAGAATGTTTACCACATGCCTTGCCCTCCCGCAGCTGGTCACCTGGTCTTTGCAGACTCAGCCCAGTCCAGTTTCCTTCCACATCCCTCAGTAAACTCTATAGAACAAACTCAGTCAAAGTTCTTACTCCTGCAGAAAACTTTTTTTTTGTTTGTTTTTTTCCAGAAAACAATGTTTGGTAACACATTCAATATATTGTGCTCCTTGCATTAGATTCAAGGACCTGCACGAGAGAATGGGAAGCCTCCCCTGCCACCTCAATATTTCTCTACTCCCACCAGGGCCAGAGGCTTCATGAGACCCTCTGTTCTCATCAGTATTATTCATTTGCTACGTCATGTCTGACTCCTTGGGATTACATGTATGGCAACAGAACAGACTTTCCTATCTTTCACTATTTTGTGTAGTTTCCTCAAACTCATGTCCACTGATTCGCTGATGCCATTACACCATCTCATCCCTTTGTTCCCTATCCTTTTGTCTACAATCTTTCCCAGCATCAGGGTCTCTTCCAATGAACTGGCTATTCACATCAGATGGTGCAAGTGTTGGGGCTTCATCTTCAACATCAGTTCCACCACTGAATATTGCTCTACCACTTCCAAAACAAAACTCATGTTTCCAATCATTTAACAAAATTGAGCATTGATAAAGTTTAATAGAACAGATATC